TCAAAACCCATATAACACAATTTGGGTCAACCTAATTTGTATTTCCAGTATATATCATTCAATAGATATTGATTAAGAACTGATGGTAGTACTTTACTTCATTATATTAAGTAATATCAAAGAATCAAATTTCTACATAAGTGTAGAGGCTACCTCCCTATCCTTTGCTCCTTTCCATTCCTTTATCTCACCCTTTCCCCACTAAGTACCCTAATAATGTTAAAAGTCTGGATAAGTAAAATTTTGTTATACAATTAAAAAGGAATTTTTTTTCTGATCATCAAATTTTTATTAAAAAACATGACTACATAAAAGATGAATTTAAGTCCACCTAAATTTTTGTGCAACTATACAGTTGATAATTAACATGCAATGATTGATGATTTGCTTACTTTATTATAAATCAAATATGTCATCAGGTACACAGATGATTCTTTTCATGCATTTCCTTCTGTCTAGGGTTTCAATTTTATTTTATGTTAAAAGTGCTTTGTCCTCCATTGTGGAGCAGTGTTTGGATTTCTGAACTTCAGAAAAGTTAATTTTAGAAAAGACTCAAAGCCATTACAATGCATTTTCAGATATCACTAACAAGTTTACTGTTTAAATGAAAAATATCATTAGTCTACTGAGGGCAAGAGAGTGGTATAGATATTTTTGGAGGGCTATGTTTCCTTTTTTGATGTAGTCTATCAGTGACATGACCCACTCAATTTCAGATAGAGATTTACAGATGAAAATTTCTCAAAAATGTTTGTGCAGGCCATTGCCACTGTTTTGGTTTTAATTTTTAAATCCCCATTTGAGGACATTTCTTCATTACTTGAGAGAGAGAGAGAGAGAGAGAGAGAGAGAGAGAGAGAGAGAGAAACATCGGCTGGGCGATTCAGGATGATCGAACCTGCAACCTGGTATGTGCTCTGGCTGGGAATCAAACCCTCAACCCTTCAGTCTATGGGACAGTGTTCCAACCAACTGAGCCACACTGACCGGGAAGCCACTGTTTTGCTTTTGCACTGGATCTAAATGTCAGGATTGGAAAGGGGGCAAATTTGGGAGGCACAGCTATTTCTCATGCTCCCTGAACTTCTGTGGCTCAGAGTCTTCCTCCTGCGTACACCTATGTCCAAGCTAGGTGGAGTGCCTTCTTTAGGTAACTGCCACCTTTCAACCTTTCACTCTGAGGTACGTATTAGAGTTTGCTTCCCAAAGTAGAGCTCTTTTGATCCACTGTAGATTACAGAAAACACGGATCTTAGATAAGAGTTTTTATGATAAGGTTGTCAAAAAATTAAAATCTCACTTGGTTTACTTAGAAGTATTGTCATTTACTAAATGCTCTCCATGTGTTTACTATAGTATTGTGCACTTTAACCTCTGTTGTTCTCTTGGCTTTCTATATCATTTATGTGACTTAGTATTAGGTATTTATAGAAGAGTAATGATACACACCTTAGTTTCCTTTTAGCTACGAAAGATTATCCAGTGGTAAGAGGTCTCTAACCAGTTTGCCTGCCAGACTAAATAATTTAGAGCAAGTTTCCTGTTAGTTTTTCTTACCCTCATTTCATTCTCAACTAAAGGAACCAGTAACTCTTATTCCTAATTTATTTTGAGGCATTGAGGTAAAATTTGTCAGTAGGTATGTTATATCTCTAGGGATTTTGTAAAAGATATGAGAGACCTCTAGATAAGCTGTATCACTTAGTTATTAAACTTTTTACACTTCTAAGAAGAGATTATGCTTTCTTGCCCAGGTAGAAACAAAAGCATGCTTTGTGAATGCTGAGCAGCTACAGGGCATATCTTAACTCTCAGTAAGAGCTTTCCACCCTGGAATATTTCCCTGTAATGAACACAATTTACTCTTGAAAAACACAATAACTTTCCTAGAATTAGACAACATGTTGTGAATTGAGGGTTGGTCTTTGCTTATACCCTCTGACAGTCTACATTCTTGTTAGGCAACTAGGAGAGCCATGACTTCTCCTGATGTGGTAAGTTGTACAATATTTGAATTTGTGAGTGTCAAACCTCATTAGAATCAACTTTCCAGGAACAGCTCTTTGATGATAACTAAAACCCAGACTCATGAGATAGAATGAATTCTTAGAAATGAGCAATTTCTTTATTTTTCTCTGCACAATGAGTTTGAAGCAGATTTAGAACTCTTGACATAGCCCTTTAAGGTTCATTTTTCTGAAACAACTCATTATCTTCTATTTTAAGTTATGCCCCTGTAGCACATGAGGAATGCTATGTTAGTATTTCTATTTTTTATTATTTCTTATCAGTAATAACATTGAATAGCTCACTTTTGTAAGAGTATTTTTATTTATCTATAGTGAAAACTTAACAATTTAGATATCATTACTTCCTGATAAAAAGGGATAACAAAGGAGGGTATTAGTTTAGATAGTGATTAACTATGGCATTAATTTTTAATAAAAATCTATTTGAAATATTTATAATCCCTATAAATGAAAGTGGTTTTCACCAAACAACTTTGGATACTTCCTGTATTGTTGCCCATCTGGGGCCAACCTGGAAAAGAATTCACAGCTCAGTGTTGTGGAACTGCTAACGGCCGTCAAGTGGCCTCTAAATGATTGCAAGCTGCTCCAAAGTACACAGTTCTCATGTTTACTCTTTTTGAAAAAAATGACTTTTCCAGTGTGGTCCTGATCATTTCTAATGTTTTCATGCCTTCCTGAAGACCTGTATTTACATCTGGCAGCACTTCCTTTCAGCCTGAAGAACTTTCTTCAGCATTTCTTATGGTACAAGTCTTTGGGTGACAAATTCTTGCATTTACATTCGTCTGAAAATATATTTCTCTCATCTTCATTCTCGAAAGATTTTGTTTCTCTGAATATAGGATTCTGAATAAACAGATACTTATAATTTTTGCACTTTAAAGAAATTGTTCCTGACTTCTGGCATTTATTATTTCTGAAAAAAAACAAAATATTCAAATTATAGTTCCCCTGCATATAATGTTATTTTTTCTGGCTGCTTTGATGATTTCTCTTTTTTTCAGTTTTCGTATGATAAAAATGATATGCAGCAATGTATAAGTTTAAGATGTATAGCATGTCTTTACTTAAATATATTGTGAAATGGCGATCACAATAAACTTAAAGAGTTTCTCTATAGCTTTCAGTAGTTTTACTATGGTGTTCCTAGGCATACTTTTTTGACAAATATCCTGCTTAAGATTCACTGAGTTCTTTGAATATATAAAGTAATGTCTTTCATCAAATTTGAGAAATCTTCATCTGTTTTTTCTTCAAAGATTTTGAATGATTTAATCTCTCCTATTTCTGTGATTCCAGTTAGTTTCTCTCTGTTTTTCAGATTGGATAAATTTGTATTGTTCTTTTTATTTTATAATTTTTATTCTGCTTTTAGGTTCATCCAATTACTTCTATTTCAGATATCTTCAGATACTGTATTTTTCAGTTTTAGAATTTCCATTTGGTTCTTTTTACATTTTCTATTTCTCAGCTAAGATTTTCTGTCTTTTCATTAATTATAAGCATATTTCCTTTACATCACTGAGATAATTATACTAGCTTCTTTAACTCCTTGTCTGCTAAATGCTATATCTGGTTGATTTCAAGTTTGGTCTCCGTTGATTGTCTTTTCTCTCAAGAATGAATCATCTAATCCTAGTTATTTGTATGCCAAGTAATTTGGGGATTTTCCTGCATATTGTGAATATTTTTTCTTTTAAGACTTTGGATTCTCTTATGTTCTTCCAAGAATGTTGCCTTTGTTTTCCTTTTTTTTAATGGTCAATTTACTTAATTAGAGACAAGGTGAAAATTCTCTGTCTTAGATTGCAGTTCAAGACTCAGTTCAGTTCTTTCCGTGTTAGCTGTGTTGTTTGGAATTTGCACTGTGCTTTTGTGGTTCAGGGGTCATGCAGAAATTTGAACAGATGTTATACACAGATTTTGAATTTCTCTATCTTTGGCTGTCTCCTTTCTAAGACTTCCCTCCTCACTTTCCTGTGGCTGTGGTGTTACCCTGAACTCTCTTCTTGATTTCTTTAGGTTTTAAAGACTGGCTTTTCTATTAAAAATTTAGCCAACCTGTGAGGTTCTTTTTTTTTTTAAGGCAGTCTTTAAAAAAAAAAAAAGACTTTATTTATTTATTTTTAGACAGAGGGGAAGGGAGGGAGAAAGAGAGGAAGAGAAACATCAATATGTGGTTGCCTCTTGCATACCCCTTATTGGGGACCTGGCCCGCAACCCAGGCATGTGATCTAACTGGGAATTGAACCAGCAATCCTTTGGTTCACAGGCCAGAGGTTCTAACTCTGACCTGCTTTCAGACTACTATAAGGCTCTTAAAAACTGGAAGGCCCACACCCTTTTTCCAAATGTCAGCTCCTCTTCAGAATATGCCTGCTTTTGTTCATTCTCCACTGCCATTAAGTAGTTAGGGGTTTGGTTTGTTTTTTTGTTTTGTTCTTAAATATAGTTATTACCTGCGGAAGGGGCGGCCTGATAAAAGCTCACTCCTGACTGCTCATTTTTGCTGTAACTTCTAAACCTGCAAAAGTGTGATTAAGAGTTCTGTTGAATACACCTGTAAGAGGAGAGGGAAGAGGATGGAAAGCAATAAAATTAAAAGATTTTACATAGGAAGGTGAAGATGGAAGAAAGCTTAAGGGAAAGTCCAGAAATTCATATGAGGAAGAGGTGAAAGGTCATTCATGGCCAACAGTGCTTTCTAATACAGGAAGGATACAAGAATCAACAACTGCCAGAGCTCTGGGTATGGAAAGGAAGCGTTATACAAGACAGAGTGTACAAAATCGGTTTTGTCCTATTGAGATGATTTCAGCCACAACATGCCCCTTTGCCTGCATCTTGAGTATTCTGAAATTTTGTTATATGTCAAAAAACCAGCTTTATCTTGTCCTTAACTCTGTTCATTTTCTCAACATTTTCATGGCTTTCCTACCTAAAATGAGTACCTTTTAACTTTAGGAAATTCGCAACATACATAATGATGAATTAATGGGAATCAGGAGAGAAGAAGAAATGGAGATGTCTGATGATGAAATAGAAGAAACAACGGAAACAAAAGAAACTGAGGAATCAGGTAAAGATCATTCTGCTTTGTTTTCTTTAAAAAACATATACTTGCAGGAATAATATTTTAAAACTGTTAACACCCAGTAAGTGATGGGCACTACCCCATCAGACTGGAACTAGCCAGAAACAATTGGTGAGGCCATTTAAGTACAAACTGGATGACTATCAACCCTGTACAGGGTTTTCTGTACAGGTTTGTCTCCATTTAGCCCTCACGTTCCATCACAGCACCTAATTAAAATTGGACTTTCTTTTCCTAGAAGCATTGGACAGTTAGTCAGTATTGTTATATATTTGGTTTGGATTTATTTATAGTATGTTTCATGTAGAAACCATAAGAAATCTTATGCATAAATAGGTAACTAGCAAAAGTTTTAAGGAAAATAGTTAGATCCTTACATCACTTATACCCTACACCAAAAGTACTAACAGATGAATTTGAAATTGAAATGTAAAAAAGTATATATAGCAAAATAAGTTCTGGATAATATGGGATCTGGTTATTTAATTTAGAATGAAGATCTCCAAAGACAGAAATCATAAAATATTTTGATAAATTTATAAGCATAAAATATAAGTATTTCTCTTTTAAAATAACAAATTTAAAAGGGAATCTATGTTCATCATGGATATTGGCTTATAATTTTCTTTCTTTGTAGTGTCTTTATCTTGTTTTGGAACCAGGATAATGCTGGCCTTGTAAAATGAGTTTGGAAGTCTTCCCTCCTTTTGAATTTTTTGGAATAGTTTGTAAAGGATAGGTGTTATTATTTGAATGTTTTGTAAAATTCACTTGTGAAGCTATCTGGTCCAGGGCTTTTGTTTCTTGGGAGTTTGTTAATTACTGCTCCAATTTCACTAGTTGTAATCTGTCTATTCAGATTCTCTAATTCTTCCTGATTCAGCTTAAGAAGATTGTATGTTTCTAGGAATGTATCCATCTCTTCCAAATTGTCCAGTTTGATGGCATATAGTTGTTTGTAATATTTTCTTACAATCTTTTGTATTTCTTTGGTGTCAGTTGTTACTTGCCCTCTTTCATTTTTATTTTATTTATTTGGGTCCTCTCTCTTTTGTTCCTGATGTGTCTGGTTAAATGTTTCTCAATATTGTTTATGTTTTTAAAGAACCAGTTCTTGGTCTCATTGATCTTTATATTATTTTATTAGGCTCTATTTCATTTATTTCTGCTCTGCTCTTTATTATTTCTTTCCTTCTACTCACTTTGAGCTTTGTTTGTTGTTCTTTTTCAAGCTCCTGTAAGTGTCATGTTAGAGTGTTTATTTGAGATTTTCCTTGTGTCCTTTTTTTTTTTTTTTTTTGAGATGAGACTGTAATGCTGTGAATTTCCCTCTAACAACTGCTTTCACTGTGTCCCATAGATTTTGGGTTGCTGTGTTCTCATTTTCATTTGTTTCAAGGTATCTTTTGATTTCTTCCTTGATATCATTGTTAACCCTCTCATTGTTTAGTAACATGTTATTTAGACTCCATGTCTTGTTTTTCAGTTTTTTCCTTGTTTTTGATATCTAATTTTATACCGTTGTGGTTGAGAAGATGTTTGTGATTATTTCAATATTTTTAAATGTATTGACCTTGTTTTGTGTCCCAATATGTGGTCTACCCTAGAAGCTATTCTATGTGCACTTGAAAAGAATGTATATCCTGCTTCTTTGGGGTGAAATGCTCTGCAGATATCAATTAAATTCATCTGACCTACCATCGTTTTCTTTGTTTCCTTCTTGGCTTTCTGTCTGTAAGATCTATCCATTGATGTCAATGGACTGTTAAATTCCCCTACTATGACTTTATTTCTGTCGATCTCTGCCTTTATATCCATCAAGATTTGCTTTGTAGGTTCTCCTGTGTTGGCTCCATAAAGGTTTACAAGGGTTATATCCTCTTGTTGGGGTCCTCCCTTTTTCATTATGTAGTGTGCTTCTTTATCTCTTACTATATAGCCTTTGTTTTAAAGGTTATTTTGTCAGATATAAATATTGCTACCCCAGTTTTTTTTCCTCTTTCCATTCACATGAAATATCTTTTCAATCCCTTTATATTTGGTCTGTGTATATCTTTTGTTCTAAGGTAGGTCTCTTGTAGACAGTATATATATGGGTCTTGTGTTCTTATCCATTCAGCTACCCTATGTCTTTTGATTGGAGTATTTAATCAGTTCACATTTAAGGTTATTGTTGGATAGGTACTTATTTATTGCCATTCTTTTCTTTATACCTATGTTTTCTTTCTCTCTAATTCTTTCTCCTCCTCCTCTTCCTTCTTTTTCTTCTCCTCTTCCTCCTCCTCTCTTTCTCTGTCCCATCCTCCTTCTCCTTCTTTCTTCTTCTTCAAGCATCCCCTTTAACATTACTTGCAATACTGGTTTGGTGGTAACAAACTTTTTTAGCTTTTTCTTGTCTGAGAAGCTCTTTATTTCTCCTTCAATTCTTATTGATAGATGGCCTTGCTGGATAGAGTAGTCTTGGTTATAGATCCTTGCTTCTTATCATTGTGAGTATTTCATGCCTCACCCTTCTGGCCTGAAATGTTTCTCTTGAGAAATCAACTGGCAGTCTTACGGGAACACCATTGTAGGCAACTAGCTGCTTTTCTCTTGCTGCTTTTAAGATTCTCTCCTTGTATTTAACCTTTGGCATTTTAATTACAATGTGTCTTGATGTAGGCCTCTTTTGGTTTGTCTTATTTGGAACTCTCTGCTGTTCCTGGACTTGTATGTCTACTTCCTTCATCAGCTTAAGGATGTTTTCATCATTATTTTTTCAAACAGGTTCTCAATCCCTTTCTCTCATTCTGGTTACCCTGTAATGTGGATGTTGTTACACTTCATGTTGTCCCAAAGGCCCGTTAAACTATGCTCATTTTTCAAAATCCTTTTTCTTTTTTCTTTTTTTTTTTTTTTTGGCTGCTCTGATTTTTTTTTTCATACCTTGTCTTTCAAATCACTGATTTGATCCTCTGCTACATCCAACTTACTTTTAGTCACTTCCAGTGTATTCTTCATTTCAGTTAATGCAGTCTTCATTTATAGCTGGTTTTTAATGGTTTCTATGTTCTTTTTCTTTCTTTTTTTGATATAATCTTTATTGTATTTTTTCCATTATCATTTAGTCCCATTATACCCACCACCCTCTAAGAGTCACCACACTGTTGTCCATGTCCATAGTCCTTTTTCTTTTTTTGCTCAATCCCTCCACCCCTAAACTACCACCCCACTAACTATCATCTGCTCTCCATCTAAGAGTCTGTCTTTGTTTTGCTTGTTGAGTTTGTTCATCAGACTCCACATATGAGTAAAATCATATGGTATTTGTCTTTCTCTGACTGGCTTATTTGACTTAGCATAATGTTTTCCAGGTCCATCCATGTTGTTACAAAGGGTAAAATATTCTTTTTTACAGCCAAATACAATTCTATTGTGTAAATGTCACATAGTTGTTTTAAAACCATTTGCCTTGGTTTTAAAGTCTATTTTGTTGGATATAAATACTATGCCAGCTTTTTTGTTGCTCTCCATTTGCATGAAATATCTTTTTCATCCCTTTACTTTTAGTCTGTGTGTATCTTTTGATCTGAGATGGGTCTCTTGAAGGCAGTATATATATATGTGTATTGTTTTCTTATCCATTCATCTACCCTATGTCTTTTAGTTTGAACATTTAAACCATTTATATTTAAGGTGAATACAGATTGATACGTATGTAGTGCTATTTTATTGTTAATCTGTTTTCCTGTGGTTTTTCTTTCTTTTCTTTTTCTTCTTCTTAAATCAAGCCCTTTAACATTTGTTGCAGAACTGGTTTGGTGTTAACAAACTCCTTTAGCTTTTTCTGTCTCGGAAACTCCTTATTTCTCCTCCAATTTTAAGTGATAGCCTTGCTGGGTAAAATAGCCTTGGCTGTAGGTCTTTGCTCTTCCTCACCTTGAAAATGTCACTCCACTCCTTTCTTGCCTGAAATGTTTCTGATGAGTAATGAGATGCCAGTCTAATTGGGGCTCCCTTGTAGGTAACTACCTACTTTTCCTTTGTGACTTTTAAGATCTCTCCTTGTCTTTAAGCCTTGTCATTTTAATTATGATGTTCCTTGGTGTAGGCCTCCTTGGGTCCAATTTGTCTGGGACTCTTTGACCTTCCTGGACTTCAGTATTTTTTTTCCTTTACCGAATTAGGGAAGTTTTCTGTCATTATTTCCTCAAATAGTCTCTCAATCCCTTGCTCACCCTCTTCTTCTTCTGGTATTCCCGTGATGCAAATGTTGCTACATCTCATGTTATCCAAAATGTTTCTTAAGTTCTCCTCATTTTTTAAGTCTTCTTTCTCTGTTGTGTTCTGCCTGGGTGTTCTTTTTTTCTACCTTGTCTTCCAAATCACTGATTCAATCCTCTGCTTCATCTAATCTACTGTTTATTCCTTTCAGTGTATTATTTATTTCAGATATTGCATTCTTTATTTCTGACTGGTCCTTTTTTATGGTTTCTATGTCTTTTTTCATGCTGTTGAGTACCCTTAGAATCATTACTCTAAACTCTCTGATAAATTGCTTGCCACCATTTCATTTAGTTCTTCTTATGGAGAATTATCTTGTTCTGTCATTTGGAGTCTATTTTTTTAACACCCTTTTAAAAAATTACTTATTTATTTTAATATATATTTTATTCATTATACTATAACAGTTGTCCCATTTTTTGCATCCCTTTTATTCCTGTCCACCCTGCACTGCCCCTCTCCCCAGGATCACCCCTCTTAGTTCATGTCCACAGGTCATACATATAAGTTCTTTGGTTTCTCTATTTCCTATACTATTTTTAACCTCCCCCTGTCTATTTTCTACCTACTATTTATGCTGTTTATTTCTTGTACCTTTACCCCTATTCTTCCCCCTCCCCCTTTCCTCTGATCCCCATTTCTATGATTCTGTTCCTGTTCTACTCATTTGCTTAGTTTGTTTTTTGTTTTTTAGGTTCAGTTGTTGATAGTTGTGATTTTAT